CCGTTTCACCATCTGAGCACCTTTCATGCAGGGATATCTCTCACTGGGGCAGATTTTTTTTTTTTAAGATTTTATTTATTTATTCATGAGAGATAGAGAGAGAGAGGCAGAGGCAGAGGGAGAAGCAGGCTCCCCGCGGAGCAGGGAGCCCGATACGGGACTCGATCCCAGGACCCTGGGATCATGACCTGAGCTGAAGGCAGACGCTTAACCGACTGAGCCACCCAGGCGTCCCTGGAGCAGATTTCTAAGGGTGCTGATTTTGCCTTCTGGGGCTATATCACTTTCTGGTAGCTGGCTTACTGAGGCTTCCCCCAACCCCTGCCAATTACCTTCTGATATATCCCCTCTGAATCATTTCTCCACACATCCTACTTTGCAAAAAGTGGTTGCTTTTCTACTTGTAGAGTTCCAAATACTCTTTTCTTACATCTTGGGTTGAATTAATGGGTGTTCAGGATGATTTGATAGTCATCTAGCTAAATTCAACAGACCAGATGAAACATGGTTCCCTACTCTTTCACCATCTTGCCTCCTCTAGCAGCCCTGGGTATTGTATGAAAGCAATGAATCACTGAATTCTACACCTAAAACTTTAAAAAATGTATGAAACATCTAGGAAATAGTTTAACCAAAGAAGTGAAAGTCTTGTACAATGAAAATCATAAAACATTACTAAAGGAAATTAGACAAGACCTAAATAAATAAAGACACGCTATGTTCATGGGTAAAAAGCTTTAGTATGTTTACAATACTACTCAAAGTTATCTACAGATACAACACAATCCTTATCAAAATTTCAAGAGCCTTTTAGGCAGAAATAGAAAAGCCAATCCTAAAACTCTGATGTAATTGCAAGAGGCCCTAACTAGTCAAAACAATCTTGAAAAAGAATACATTTGAAGAACTCACTTTCTTTTTGTTTGTTTGTTTTTTTGGGTTTGTGTGTGTGTGTGTGTTTTGTTTGTTTTTGAGAACTCACTTTCTGATTTCAAAACTTACTACAAAGCTACTGTAATCAAAACAGCATCACCCTGATCAATGGTTAGAAGTGGGAGTCTAGAAATAAACCCATACTTGTCTGGCCACTTGGTTTTTAACAAATCCACTAAATGGGGAAAGATTAGTGTCTTCAATAAATGTTGTTGGGGCAACTGGATTTCCACATGTAAAAGAATGAAGTGGGATCCCTAGCACACAGCATGTACAAAAACTAACAAAATTGGTCAATCACCTAAATGTAACAGCTAAATCATAAAACCCTAGAAGAAAAGATAGGGGTAAATCTTCATGATGTTGTGTTTGGCATTGGAATTTTAGATATATACCAAAAGCAACAAAAGAGAAATAGGTAAATTTGACTTCACCAAAGTTAAAAGCTTCTGTGCAGCAAAGGATATTATCCAGAAAATGAAAAGACCACTTTCAAAATGGGAGAAAATATTTGCAAATTATATATGTGATAAGGTATTAATATTCAAAATTTATAAAGAATTCCTACAACTCAAAAACAAAAAGACAACCCAATTATATAATATACCTAGGAGTGGAATTGCTGAGGAATATAGTAATTTTATGTTTGGATTTTTGAAGATCTCCAAACTGTTTTCCACAGTGACTGCACCATTTTACATTCTTTACCAGCAATGTATAATAGTTCTAATTTTCCACATCTTTGCCAACACTTGTTTTCCCTTATTGAAATATTATAGACGAACCAAAGTAGGTATGAAGTGATATTTCATTATAATGGCATTATAATTGGCATATAATTTCATTATAATTGACATTTCCCTACTGACTAATAAGGTTGAACATTTTTTTATGTGCTTATTGACCATTTGTATATCTTCATTGGAGAACTGTCCATTCAAGTCTTTTTTCCATTTTTAATTGTTTCACAAAACAGATATTCAAACAGATACTTGGTTTCATTTTTTTATTTTTAAATTTTGTATTTAAATTCAATTTAATTAACATACACTGTCGTCTTAGTTTCAGAGGTAGAATTCAGTGATTCATCAGTTGCATACAACACCCAGTGCCCATTACATCAAGTACCCTCCTTAATGCCCATCACCCAGTTACCCCACCCCCCCAGCCACCTCCCCTCCAGCAACACTCAGTTTGTTCCCTGTAGTTAAGAGTCTCTTATGGTTTGCCTCCCTCTCTGTTTTCATCTTACTTATTTTTCCTTCCCTTCCCCCATGTTCATCTGTTTTGTTTCTTAAATTCCACATATGAGTGAAATCAATGGTATTTGTCTTTCTCTGACTGATTTATTTTGCTTAGCATAATACCCTCTCGTTCCATCCATGTCATTGCAAATGGAAAGATGTCGTTCTTTTTGATGGCTGAGTAATATTCCAGTGTGTGTGTGTGTGTATTTTGGCAATTGTGGACATTGCTGCTATAAACATTGGGGTGCATGTACCCCTTCGAATCACTGTGTTTGTATCCTTTGGATAAACACCTAGTAGTGCATTCCTGGGTCATAGGGTAGTTCTATTTTTAACTTTTTTTTAAAAAGATTTTATTTATTTATTTGATAGAGAGAGACACAGCAAGAGAAGGAACACAAGCAAGGGGAGTGGGAGAGGGAGAGGGAGAGGGAGAAGCAGACTTCCCGCTGAGCAGGGAGCCCAATGTGGGGCTCCATCCCAGGACCCTTGCTGGGATCATGACCTGAGCCAAAGGCAGATGCTTAACGACTGAGCCACCCAGATGCCCCTATTTTTAACTTTTTGAGGAACCCCTGTACTGTTTTCCAGAGAGGTTGCACCAGTTTGCATTCCCACCAACAGTGTAAGAGGGTTCCCCTTTCTCCACAACCTTGCCAACATCTGTTGTTTCCTGAGTTCGAACAGATACTTATATACCAATGTTCATTGCAGCATTATTCACTATAGCCAAAAGGTAGAAATGGCCCAGTGTGCATCAATAGATGAATGGATGTATACAGACATGCACGCACATGCATACACACAAATAGATAAAATTCCTTCATAAAAAGGAGTAAAGTTCTGACACATGCTACAACATGCTTAAACCTTGGAAACGTTGTGCTGAGTGAACTAAGCCAGATACAAAAGGAAAATATTGTATGATTCCACTTATGTGTTATACCAAGAATAGTCAAATTTGTAGAGACAGAAAGTAGATTAGAGGTTAACAGGGGATACTGATGGTGGTTGGAAATGGGAAGTTATTGCTTAATAAACATAGAGTTTCTGTTTGGGGTGATGAAATAGTTGTGATGCTTACACAATACTGTGAATGTAAAAAATGTCTGAACTGCACATTTAGAAATGATTAAAATGGCAAGTTCTTTTTTTTTTTTGCATTTGTAAATATTTTATTTATGAACTTTTTTTTTTGGTAGTTTTTAATTTTATTATATTATGTTAGTCACTGTACAATACATCATTAGTTTTTGATGTAGTGATCCATGATCCATTGTTTTCGTATAACACCCAGTGCTCCATGCAGCACGTGCCCTCCTTAATACCCATCACCAGGCTAACCAATCCCCCCTCCCCTCTAAAACCCTGTTTGTTTCTCAGGTCCATAGTCTCTCATGGTTAATCTCTGCCTCCAATTCCCCCTCCCCTATTTTTCCCTTCCTTCTCCTAATGTCCTCCATGTTATTCCTTATGTTCCACAAATAAGTGAAACCATATGATAATTGACTTTCTCTGCTTGACTTATTTCACTTAGCATAATCTCCTCCAGTCCCATCCATGTTGATGTAAAAGTTGGGTATTCATCTTTTCTGATGGCTGAGTAATATTCCATTGTATATATGGACCATATCTTCTTTATCCATTCATCTGTTGAAGGGCATCTCGGCTCTTGCCACAGTTTGGCTATTGTGGACATTGCTGCTATGAACATTGGGGTGCATATGGCCCTTCTTTTCACTACATCTGTGTCTTTGGGATAAATACCCAGTAGTGCAATTGCTGGGTCCTAGGGTAGCTCTATTTTTAAATTTTTGAGGAACCTCCACACTGTTTTCCAAAGTGGCTGTACCAACTTGCATTCCCACCAACAGTGTAAGGGTTCCCCTTTCTCCACAACGTCTCCAACATGTGTTGTTTCTTTCCCTGTCCATTTTTGCCATTCTAACTGGTGTAAGGTGGTATCTCAGTGTGGTTTTTTTTTTTTTTTTGTATTTTTATAATTTCCCCAGTTTATTTTGAAAACAATCTTTTCTGCCATATAGCCATATGAATTTTAGATTAGTTACCTCCAAGTGCACAGAAATTACCTATATTTGTCTATAAATTAAGCACTGATGAAAGAATACTTAATGTCTCAATATTTAAGCAGCTCGACATAAAAGAACTTTCCCCGACTTTTTAATTATTTTTTCCCACCTAGGCTAATCTATATTTGACATTTGGGTTCTACAGGCATTGAAAAACAGACACGTTCCTCAAACAGACAGTAAGATAAACCAGCATACAGTGTCCTTCTTTCTGGCTGTAACTTTCCAGAGGCAAAATGGTTCCAATGGAATCAAGCTGACTTCCTGATGAAATAAACTAGCAGGTTGGAAAGGTTCTGCAGACTAACACCTTAACTCTTCTATGTAAACAATGTGCACTGCGAGCAAGGGTGAGTCTCGGCTGGGAGCTCCCGTGGATGGGCTGCTGGGGCTGGCTTGTGCAGACAGCAGAGGACAGGGTCCCCATCGGTCGTCCGCAAACTTGAGGAAGAGGCAGAACTCGTGTGCCCGAAAGGGACGCTGGATGTCCTCATGCTCTGGTGCCTGTTCTATTTTGTTTGTTCCACTATTTTTGTAACTGGGGCAAAGCGGGAGGTTCAGCGGGTCTAAGAACACTTCGCATACCCCATAAACTGTCTGGATGAAACATTTTATTCATTTGTCTGTCAGATACAATAACTGATTTCCATCTACAATTATTTAAGGTAAGAAACCGAGGGTCAACTGAAGAAACAGCTGCAGCCTCACAGCAGAGCCTGCGGGGCCCAGCCTGGGGCTGCAGGGAGAATGGGTGTGGCATTAGCGGGCCTTCTCCAGGAAGGTTCTGCAGCACCTCACACACTGCTGGTAGACAGTCTCAAAGTCGGACTCATTCCCATAATAGGGGTCTTCAATAATGAGATGATTTTGTGGATCATAGCTCCCAAGTAGTTCAATTTTACCTTTGCAGTTTTTAATTTGATTACTTTTTCTATTCAAGTCTCTCAGATTGCTTTCATCCATACATAGTATATAATCAAATGTGGCAAAGTCTTCCTTGGTAACCTGTCTTGCTTTATGGGCTGTGTTAATGCCATGATTTCTGAGGAAGCTCAGAGTTCTTGGATCTGGTGACCGGCCCACGTTCCAGTCAGAAACAGCGCCGCTGTCAATGACCCAATGATCTGAAAGCTTTTGATCAGTTACAAGTTTTCTGAAAACTGCTTCTGCAATGGGTGACCGACAGATGTTACCCAGACACACGAAGAGCACAGACTTCGGCA